TATATATATTTAACCCAGGCAGTCACATGGAATAAACATGTGCATATCCTGAAAAGAACTCACAATTTCTCAATAGTGTTCAAAAGGGCGAATTGCCTACTGGACAGACTTCCAGGATTTGTTTGGTATTTGATCGCATTCTGTCCGGGATTCACCAAGAAGGCTCTCGAGGGAGGAAGGGATACCACAGAAGGTCGGAAAGGGAAACATTCCCTTGAAATTCTCCAGCCTTTATGATTTTCTGTCCTCTCTCCCTTCTGTGGAAAGAGGCATGTCCAAGAAACGTGGCTCTTTCCTGTGCACAAAAGGATCAGCTGCAGAGGAGTCTGCCACCAGCACCCACAGTCCAGGGTGCTCGCCTGAGCCCCTCTGATTTGACCCTGAAACAGGAAATCTTGTGAGAAGGAGCTATGAGGTAAAATCAGTCTTAATTGGAGATTGCGGCCAGATTAAAAACCTACAACTAGACTTTCCATCTTGAGTTTCCACTCTCAGTTCTAACTCATGATTCTTGCAGTGTTTGCTGCAAGAGAAGGTTTTTCTTCTTACTTCTCATGTTCCTTTTCTTCTGCCTTCTCACCTCCCTTCCTCCTCCTTTCCTCCCTCTGTCCCTCATTCCTTCTTCCCCTCTGTCTTCAGATCCTCTCTTTCATGAATGAGCCTGTATCACTCGTCTGCCTGCACTGGACTTGCTGTAATGAGTGAGGCCTGCTCACTTGGACCTGAGAGCCTTGAGGAGACACAGATAATAGAACCAAATGATCGCCAAGCTGTGTTCTCTGGGCACTCAGGGCTCAGCACAATGTTTGCCTACTTGGCAATCAGCCTGAGTTCAGTAAGACTTCAGTCTGAAAAGGGAAAGGAGGCCATGCATATCTGTGGCCATTTACTAAGCAGAAAGCTCTATGGTTGGAACATTACATTATCATCTTATTTATTCTGATATTCTTGCCTGGCTGGATGGCTCTATTCCCATTCTTCAGATGGGAAAGTTGAGGAATCAAGAATATTATGAAGTTTTCTCAATAAGTAGCCAACCCCAAACACAAACAGACTGACCCTTTGAGGAACTAGAAGTCATGAACAGACATTGTACCAGAAATTTTCAACCAGGACACTATTGGCACATTGGGCCAGATAAATGATGCTGTGGGTGATTGCCCTTGGCATTGTGGGATGTTTAGAAGCTTCCATGACCTCTACTCACTACCAGTAGCCCCACCAGACATTGACCAAAAAAATCTAGAGACAGATTCACTTCCTGCAGTCGCCATCCATTGAATTATACCAACTTCTTGAGCAATGAATAAACTTCTGCCTACCTGTCTGCCTCCTTTCCTCATCTTCTGTTTAGTTATTACCGGCATACCAGGATCCTGCTGTGGCACTGTGGAATAAGCACTTGACCATAACGTTGGTTTGAACCACAAGGTTGGTGGTTCAAACTCACCAGCGACTCCTCGGAAACCCTATGCAGGGTCATTGTGAGTCAGAACCGACTCCACAGCACTATATTGACAACAACAAAAACATACTCAGGCAAGTCAACTGGTATAACTACAAGACCAGACACCATTTTGAGCAAAAAATACCAAAATGGAAAGTTACTGTTTCTTGACACATCCTCCATCTGGCTCTACACACTTCTGAAGACCGTGTTTCCATGTCTTTAATCCTTTCCCAAAGAATTTGATTGACATCCCATCAAAATGACAATGTTGGCATTCTCGAAAGACTGGTAATTGTGTTCCTTTTAGAATATTGTTTGTGTTTTGGGAACAAAAGGAAGTCGGAAAGGGCAGAATCAAGGCTGTAGGGTGGTCAGTGGGGTAAGGGCTCCCAATAAAATGACCCTAGGACAGTCCTGGCACCAGTCATGGGAAAATGTCCTCACTACAGCTTTCTTGGCCTTTTTCTCACCAATGTAATTTTCTATTTTTTAAAGTGCTTCTTCGTAGTAAACCCCTGTGATCACCCTGTGACCTTGGAGTAAATCTATCAAGATGACCCCTTCTTGTTGTTATTGTTAAGTGCCACCGTGTAGGTTCCGACCAATAGTGACCCTGTATAGAGTTTCCAAGGAGTGACTGGTGAGCTTGAACCACTGACCTTGCAGTTCAAACAGTTTTACAGTCTGGTGCGTTAACCCACAGCGCCACACCAGGACTCCAACAACTTGTTGTTGTTGTAAAGTGCCATCGAGTCAGTTCCAATCCACAGCGACCCTGTATAGGGTTTCTGAGGAGCAGTTGATGAGCTTAAACTACTGACCTTGCAGGTCAAACAACTTTGCAGTCTGGCACATTAACCCACAGCACCACCCCAGGACTCGGGACCCCTAAAAACTGTCTCTATAACCTTCAAAACTGACCTGTCTGCCTTGACTCAAACTGGCCTGGCAGATCCCATTGGAAGTCACTGTTTACATTGGACCTCTTTCTTGAAAGACAAAGTAATGAGAAGAAGACAAGTGCATTCCTAAGAGAACTGGGCTGCAGCCACCTACTGATTGCACAAACACATTTAAACAAGTTTTGTTGGACTACGCCCATGCATGCATGTGTAAACTCATGCGTGCAATACTTTCCAACTGACCCTGGTGTTTATATACAGTTGTTGTTGTTGAATGCTGTCGAGTCCATTCCGACTCCTAGCAAGCCACTATAGGGTTTCCAAGGAGCGGCCACTGCATTTGAACCACTGACTTTGTAGTCCAGTACTTCATCCCCAGCGCCACTCTAGGACTCATATGTCTGTATAGCTGTTGCTGTTGTTAAGTGCCGTGGATGGGGAGAAAGCAACAAAGCCTGTCTCACAGCCAGGCAATAATGGATCTGGGCATACCAGGGTCTGTTAGAAATCATGAGGCACACATCCGGAACCAAACACAGGTCTATCTCAAGTCCTGGCAACACCTGGACACAGAGTCGGGGGCCCAACAAAAACTGAATGAATGAAAGAATTTGTGGGAGAGGAGAGAAGATAGGGCTGCAGCGAAGCTGATCTGTGTTGCTGGTGATTAGCATTATGGGGTGGTGAGGAGGGGAGGCACTGGGGAGCACAGAGCAGAGAAGGTAAGTGGCACCCTAGCTTAGTGACCAGGTAGGATTTGGATAGAAGTCAGGAACAGAGCTGCTCCAGGGTGGCTGAAACCAGGTGTGAACAAGAGCATGGTCTGGGGGCTGTGATTCCACAGTACGCCACGCCCCCCTCCCCCATAAAGGTAGCTGTCTTCACCATATTTTTTCACATGGACTGCTCTGGGGGCCCAAGTGTTTAACTTCCATTTTCTAGGTGTAAAAGGCAGTGATCGTGTGCTTGTACTTGAAACATACTCAGAACACCTGTGAATAGAAAACCTTTGCTACCTCTTTCTCATGCCCCACCTGCATGTCCCCTCCCAACAGGTATCTCCCTGATCAGCTCTGCGGCATCCGTACCTTCTGTGTTCCTGGTCACCCATGGCCAGCTGCAGGGCAGGTCTCAGGCCATCCAGGTGGGCACAGCGTGGAAGCAGGTCTACCAGTTCCTCGGAGTACCCTATGCGGCCCCACCCCTGGCAGAGCGCCGCTTCCAGGCTCCAGAGCCCTTGAACTGGACTGGTTCCTGGGATGCCACCAAGCCACGGTAAGGGATGAGTGGGGCACATGTGGGTGAGCGTCCAGAGAAGCCCTCTCCAGCTCTAATGCATCCAAGTGAGCGCAGGAGCCGAGGAATGTGTTCCTGGTTGAGTGGTGCATGGGCAGAGAAGAGGAGGGGGCAGAAGAAGGGTGTACTAGAGAAATTAAACAGATGGAAGCCCGAACATCTGTGGCTTATATAGTCTTGCTCATGTGAACCCAGGTGGGTAGAGGGGTCGATGTTCTCTGTCTGGGACCTAGAGTGAACTTGATGGAAGCCTTCCTTTCTCCACATAAACGTTCCAAGATCCCCTTGAATATTGCATCCTGGAAAGACTAAGTCTAAAAGGGCAGTTTCTAGGACTGAACCTGGAAGTGGGTGTAGATTGATCGGTGCTCATCTACTGGGCTTGTCTGACTTCAGTGGGGCCAGGAAATACAGCAGATGAGCTCATGAAAAAAACATTTTAAAAGTACTTTTGTTTATTTCACTTTTCAATCAACCCGCTGCCACTGAGTTGGCTGCAATTCATAGCAACTCTACAGGACAGAGTAGAATGCCCCATAGGGTTCTAAGCTCTACGTCTTTATGGAATGATTCTGCCATCGCCTCCTTTTGAGCAGCTGGTGGGTTAGAACTGCTGACCTTTTGGCTAGCAGCTCATTGCTTAACGATTGCACAAGCAGGGCTCCTATATTCAGTAAAGACACTCCTAAAAAGGACTTTCTTAAAATAAAACATCAAGTTTTCCTGCCTGCAGCCCCCATCATCTATTTTCAAATTTTCCCTCTTTGCTCCATGCAAACACAGTCATTTAAAAGTGGCTGACATATTGGAGAATGATTTTATGATATTTTCTAATTACAGCACATTCAGAATGTCTGTGGAAAGACCATTTACTCCCTACTCCCTCCCAGCCTCCAGTTTCCTCTCAACAAGCATCTGTCCTGGTGCTCCTGCTTCCTCCAAAG